TTAGGGTTTGGGGTTAGGGTTCGGGCACCAATGATCATCGCCCAAGAAACTGTGTGATAGGAACTCAAGTGGTTCCAGCAATCTAAGGGGACTTACACGGAGTTCTACGCACAGCTAGAAATAGGTGTTTATTGCCCTGAACCTCCAGGCATTAAGTGACAGCAAGCACGGCCTCAAGATAAACTGGAAGCTGAGGGTTTCGTGTGCAGGTCTCTTGGACTTCATCTCTCGCAGAATAGGATTGACGGTCCCAGAGTTAGGGTTTGGGGGTATGATCCGCCCAAGGACTAGAACTCGGGATGTCCAAATTACTGCTTTTTGGATTGGTCGCAGGAATGACCGCCTTGATGCACTAAAACATGGCACCAAGACCCAGGCAGTCCGCAGCACCTTAATGAAGGGCTGCGCCGTGAAAGATGCTAGGACCATGATTTAATGCAGTTTTCCTTAGGTGGACACCCCACCCTGTCATAGTGACAATGAGGGATACTGGTGATTATTTGAAAGTCTTCTTATATTCCTTTCATCCCACTATTGCAGGGCGGGGCATCCACCTAAGACATTTCTTACTTGCTTGGTATCGGCCTCCCGGAAAACAGGGGATCAAGGGCTTGAGCAGGACTCGAGAAGGACGCCACTGCTTGAGCCACCATGAGCATCCTCAAATCTAAATCTGCCAAGATGCTGGGTTTTCTACCCATTCAGTCGCTTTGTTATGCAGTCGCAGCTATAGGGTTACGTAGGGTCATATAGGGATCATATGGGGCTCTATGGGCATATACAGGCATACATAGGTTCATATTGGGATATATATATAAATGTTTCTAGAGGGGATAGCACGAGCAGAGTTTTCCATATCATGTGCAACCAGCAAATGTCTCATCACCAGCAGACTGGCCACAATCCTCGCACTTGGTCTGAAGACACTCATCAACGTAAATGTAGATGTCTGATGAGACCTTAAACCCCAGGCCCCTAGCTTTGGCCTCCCCACGCCCTAAAGCCCACAGGTAATAAACCCTCAGCTGAACAACATTGGTTTCCTCAAAGCCACTATAGGCAGTTGAGGGAAGGGTAGTGGGGTGTAGCGTTTAGGATTCAGCGCAGCTTGTCGACTTGCATAAAGAGCATTATCAAAGAGGTATTCCAGATGCTTCATAACATCTCCCAATGAGACACCACCTATTGGCAAAAGACCTGCTACAACATATGAACACATGCAAGGGCAAAATTCATCTTTGGCGGTTTAGGGGGCCGGGGATAGCGGAGGCAATTACATGCCATCTTCTTGAGACGTTCGTAAAAGCCCTACATCATCCCAGATTATTTTCAACTTCAAAAGTCTAGCTATGGCATACTGCAACCCTCCAACAACACACCCACAAAAAAGTGCTATGGTGGTACTACTGTATCCTGAATAGGCGTCCTATATATGACAGCACCCTAAACACTAAACACTACATGGCCTCAGACATCTATTTTGAGAGGCGCTGGCCATCTTCAGAGAGGTGGGGGACCAGAGCCAGAGCCTCGATCAGGGGTCCCCCTTTTGTGGTTTCCTATAGTACTGGCTTATAGGGTTTAGGGTTCTAGGGGGGGGTACATAGAGTAAGGGGACCGACAGGACCCCATGTGTGTTGATTTGGGAGTTTCTCAGGTAATCCTCATCTAACAGCTGTAGGTTACGGTTATGGATTTGGGGCTTCGGGTGTAGGATTTTG